AATTTTGTAAATTTTTGTAAATTTTTACAAAGTATTTTCCACTGTAATTACCGGGCCAAGTTCATTATAGATAGAGATAGTAGTAAGGAGCAAGAATGTTCAGTAAAGTAAGATCTGCAAACACATCACCATCACCAAAACACAATTTTGTCATGAATCCATCTGTGTCGTTTGTTTAATATGCACATAGACCAAGGTGAGCGACACAGGCTCTTTAGAGCCTCTAGTTATTATTAAGTGGATATGTATAGGCTTAAACATCTGTTATTTAGATATAAAACATGCAAAATAATTAATTAGAACTTGAATAATTAAGGACTGCTTTGAAATATGTATCTCACAGCAAAACTATAATATTTTACAGTCTTGAAAAAAGAAAAAAATATTTTTTTTATGAAAAAGAGGCACAAGATTATATATATATATACCAAGGGGAGATTTAAAACTTGTACATCGAAGTGGAAACTAACAACACCACGGCAAAAAATGAAAGACAATGAAAAAACAAGTCTACAAAACACTTCATAGAAAACTTAAGACTGAGCAAGAATAACCCAACAAAAAACTGAGGTGATCTAGGGGTTTTGGAAGAGTAAAATAACAGTTCGATACATTGTAAGAAGGTCAAAATGCTTAATGATAATAACAATAAACATTTTTAAAAATAGATAGCATCCTATGTTCAGCAATAGTTTCAGTTTGTTCACCATTCTTTGTAGGTATTATAGTCCTGATTCATGATGAGAAAACTTTATTGATTATGTTCATACCCGTAAAATGTTACTGTCTTACTTTTATAGTGAGATTTAAGAAATAAAGATGAATAAAATGATTAGTTGACAGTTATAGGATGATACATTTTTAGATATTCAGTTATTATATTACCAGCGTGGAACCATTTTCACACAAGTAAAATATTATGAGAAAAATCATTTATTGTTAGTTCTGATTGTAAGAATTTTATGTGAAAAGAGCCCCATGTATCAATTGTTGAATTTCAAGTTGACATTGTTATTATTATGAGGGTGGTAAAGGGGGGTGCTTGCTCGGAAAAACGTGAAATAAGACATAATTTCATGTTGAACGTGAAATAGTTTCTGTCATGAACGTTGCACGAAAAATAAATATTTGATGTGAACCTTTTGTGACTGAGTCACTGTCTTCTTGTATATATAAACTGTTACTCTCTGTTTTACTTGATATTCCTGATTTAGTATACATATTTATGATATAAATGGTTTACGGCTTTTAAAAAAGTATATAACGATCTTCTTAACTTTTAAAATGCAAATATCCCGCAGACACGAAAGTGTACTCTGATCTATTTCATTGTCTTTATTAACAAGAATACACACGTTGTCATGTTATCCATGCCACCAGCTACCACGACTCGTGGTTAAAAGTATCAGAAATAGGAAGTTTGAACTGACAGAAGATGGAAAGTGCAAACACATTAAAGCTCATCACTGTTAGATGTCGATCCTATTTATATTTTCCGCCATTTGAAACTTTTGTACTGGTTTGGTAATTGAGTCATTATAGACATTATAGATGACCGATTATATAGAATAGCTTACCAAGACTGGAAACCAGTACATATCTTGGAAGCTCCAAAATCAACAAGGAACAACATCAAAGTCCTTTCCGCTTTATCAAAAAACAAAATTGAATCCATTTTATTCTTGACGATCCCTGCCAAGTGTTTGAATTTTATTTGAAAAATACTGAGCACGCAAAATAAGCATTTGAAAATCACGATGCACGTAAAATTAAATAAGCAGAACACGTTGAACGAGGCACCTGTCTTGCACGACTGAAGTCAAATAAAAAAGTAAAAACATGTTGAACGTGAAATAAAAAACGGTGATCACGTTGCACAAAAATAACCCTTTACCACCCGCTATTATGTCTTGGAGAATAATATTCATTATAGTTTCTGAAGTTACAATATTCATTTGAAATATGAAAGTAGCATGACAATTGAAAATTGTGTCTTATAGAGTTCTATTCATCATGAAGCTAATGTTCAAAGTCTGCATGGTTGTGATTTGGCCTGGCATTGATTTGTTTCTTGATTATTTATATTTTTGTCACCATACATCAGACTGTTCATCCTAAGTTTATCACTGCCTGTAACCGAGTACGGCAGAAAGTGATTTTCCCCCGATTACAGTACTGATTTTCCCCGATTGTTTACTGATTTTTCCCGATTTTCCTATGTAGAGAACATCAAAAGGGTAATTATATATGAATTAATGAAAATCTGTGTCAATAATTATGCAACCTTCAGTTTCATTCATACATTTTTATCATTGACCTCCCATGGGCAATATGGATTTTAATGACCAATCCTAAAAATAGAAACTTTTCCGAAGCAAGGAAGTCATGGGAAGTGATTTTCTTATATTATTCAAATATCTAAATGTTATTTCTCTAATTATAGAATACTTATTCAAATGTGCAAATTAAGTAAACTTAGAGCTGGAAGTACTTTTTTACGGAGATTAGGAAAATACTAAAAAAAATATGATTTCAATTTCTGATGTAGTGTACTGATTGTCCCAGAGAAGATGAAGTTAATTACAGATTTTCCCCGATTTTCTCTTATAGTATCATAAGGAAAAAGGTTCATTCTAAGTTTTATTTTTAACTGTTACTTGCAAAAAAATATCAACATAGCTTTGATAGCTTTCTAAAAATGTCATCTTTGAAGAAATAGTAGCTCACCATCAGAAGACACATCCATCTGAAAAACTTGTCATTTGGAGAAGACTTGAAGAGGGTGGTGAAAGCTAACATACCATGCATTCATTCCAGAACTTCTTGACAGAAAAGGAAAAACTTTTATTAAAATACAAGATGAAAAAATTATAATTTGTAACTTATCAACAAATACACCACAAAAGATTATCAAAAAAGGCAAATCATCACAATCTCTAACCATTTCAGACAATTTATCAAATTCGCCAAACTATGAATCCAGAAATATACAAACAGTAAGTTATGAACCCCAAGCAAGAAGAAACCTGTTTAAAGTTTCTGAACCAACCAATGAAATATCAATGAACAAAAAAATCTCTAATTCAATTTTATATATAAAATTGTAGAATTACAGGTTTGCAGGAAAATTATTCATATATTCCACTATTTTTATTTATACACATGCCTAAGTGTATATGAAGATCCACATATTAGCTTTATTTTTGAAGGATTAGCTTTTTCAAAATCGGGGACAATCTGTATAGGTATCAGGGAAAATCTGTAATCAACACAAGCTGATCGGGGACAATCTGTACACCAAAGCTCAAGTTTAATTGCTAGTTTTTTTCCCATTTAAATGCTTATTTTGTCCAAATTTCTACTTGCATTTTTCAGATTATTATATTTGAACAAAATTTCATGAAAAAAAATCTAATTTATATTCCCAGTTTTCTAAAAGCAGATTAAAACATATTTTTTTTACTCAAATCAGCTACAACAGCATCAAAACAAAGAATAAGGAAGGTCATGATGTAACTTCAAAGCAATCCCACCTCAGGATATCACTTACTAATGACTGCTGACCAGACAGAATAAATGATCTTTAACCAATTGATTAGTTCAAGCTACTTAAATTGAATAACAGAACTATAGTGTAAAATTTATCATGAAAAATCAGTACAAAATCGAGGAAAATCAGTACTATAATCGGGGGAAAATCACTTTCTGCCGTACTCGGTTACAGGCAGTGTTTATAGCTGCTTTTATTTGATATTCATGATTTCTGGTGGTTTGAAGTTTATAAGCTATAATTCTCACAACTATCTTTTGATTTAATATTGAAGCACCTTGATTATTAGCTACTTCTGAATAATATTGTTGCTGTTGTTTAGGGAAAATCTGGATATAACTTACTGTTAAAATAATTAAGTTTCATGTATTGATTTCTCTCCTTTATACTTATTTGAAAAAGAAATAATTATACTATTTGAAGAAACTATGGTGATTTAGCAAATTTATAACAAGAGATTTGGGTTAATTCTATTTTGAAGCAGACATAAAATATCCTTGATATTTATCTTTTCTATAAATTTATTGTTTATAAAATATTGAAATATTGGAAACACTTAGGTTTTCTCTGGGGGTAGAAAACCTAAGACATATTTGGTACAACTTTTGGGAATTTTTGGGTTTTTAATATATAATGCTGTTCAACTAATATATGATTTGCTTTGCGAGGGTTTTTATTAAAGTGCCACTGATGAATCTTATGTAAACAAATCAAGAGTATGTAATTCAGTGGTTGTCGTTTGTTGCTGTATATCTTATTTGTTTTTCGTTCATTATTTTGTACATAATTCAGGCTGTTAGTTTTCTCGTATGAATAGGTTTACATTTGTCATTTCTGGGCCTTTTATAGCTGACTATGCGGTATGGACTTTGCTCATTGTTGAAGTCCTTATGGTGACCTATAGTTGTTAATTTCTGTGTCATTTGGTCTCTTGTGGAGAGTTGTCTCATTGGCAATCATACCACATCTTATTTTTATAAAACATACTTTCAGCATACCATGTTATAAGCCTGGTATCTCTGATGAGTTTTTGTCTTGTCTTGACATGATTAAGTCAGTTTAAGGGGAACCACTAATGGTAGGTTCATGATATTTGGGTTGCAGTTGTATTAGATTTGGCACATTTCATTTTCATTGGGATTATTTGGCCCTGCTCTCTCAGTCATGGTCTTTTGACTTTGAATGTTTTGCATAGTTCACATGTTAAAGTATTGCCATTTTAATTTCAACATTTGCTTTATACTATCAAAATTACATTCAAGCGAGATTATATATCCCTGTGTCAACAGTTTATTTCAAATATTAGCAGTTTGGATAATTTAGTGCTATTTTTTTGCTTATTTTAATTAGATTGCAAGTGGGTAGAACAGTAATAATCATGATTTTTTTTTCTTTTCTTTTTACAATTTATTAATCTTAGTTCACATATTATATCTTTTACTCTTTGTAGGAGGCCATGGCCATGAACAAGATGAATGTTCTCCATTGGCATATTGTGGACGACCAGTCTTTCCCATACCATAGTAAAGTTTACCCAGATCTTAGTCAAAAGGTATGCATACTACACACAGTCAATACTTCCCATACCATAGTAAAGTTTACCCAGATCTTAGTCAAAAGGTAGGCATACTACACACAGTTTGTACTTCCCATATCATAGTAAAGTTTACCCAGATCTTAGTCAAAAGGTAGGCATACTACACACAGTTTGTACTTCCCATATCATAGTTAAGTTTACCCAGATCTTAGTCAAAAGGTAGGCATACTACACACAGTCAATACTTCCCATACCATAGTAAAGTTTAACGAGATCTTAGTCAAAAGGTAGGCATACTACACACAGTCAATACTTCCCATACCATAGTAAAGTTTACCTGTATATTAGTCAAAAGGTAGGCATACTACACACAGTTTGTACTTCCCATAGTAAAGAAAAACTTTGTTCAGATCATAGTCAGAGGATACATATTCTTAAAACAAATTGTTCCTTCAAAAAATAGCAATTTTTCTCCAAAACTAGTTGAAGAAAATAAGTTCTTCCCATACCAAAGTAACCCATCCAGATGTAGTCAAAAGGATAGCCATACTGTACACAACTTTTTCCCATACAACAGTAAACTTTATCCAGATCTAATAAAAAGGATATTCATACTGTACAAAAGTTTTCCCGCACAAAAGCAAATTTGTCCAGATGTAGTCAAAAGAATAGTCATACTGTACAAATTTTTTACATTTTTATGGCTCCACTGTAGGAAACGGGGGCATTAAGTGTTATCCTTGACTGTCTTGTCTTTCGGTCCATCCTTCCGTTAGTCCCATTTTCATTTCCGCACTCTTACTTAAGTTTGCCTCATCCAAATTTTATGAAACTCATACAAAATGCTAAAAACTATAACACACAGACAGATTTCGAATTTGGGCAGTGAGTCATTTACCGTTCTAGAGTTATGCCCTATTTAATTTGGAAAATTGGAAAGCATGAGCGGGGCATTCGTGTCCTCAGACACATTCTTCTTTTATCTTGCTTATATTTTATGAGGCATGCATTGTGTACATGTGCAGCCCTACCGACATCAAATATTTAAATTCCATTTAAAATTTAGAAATATTAAAGGTCTGTTCAGTTCAACTGAAGGCCCTCTATCAAAAGTCAGATAAAGTTCAAAACCATGTCAAACAAGAAATTTTACATCATAAGTTTTGGAGATTATTACATGTATTATGTACCTAGAACAACATAAGTTCAACTCAAATTTCATGAAGAGAGTTAGTTATAGAAATTATATTGCTCAAGTGAAACTGTTTGATTTCTAGATGACTTTACATTTCTCTTACTTGAGATCTTCAGTAGCAGTTTTGGTATTCACATCCAAACAAAATTTCAAATAGCTAATGATTAAATTAAAAAGAATGGACGCACCATGCAAAAGAATTGGTAAAAAAGAGTTGTAAGATACCAAAGGGATATTTAAACTCATTAGTAGAAGAGAAACTAACAAGACCATGGAAAAAAATGAAACACTTAACGGTTTCTGGCATAATTGTAAATGCTGACAATTCATTAAAAAGGGATACTTGATGGAATACTGTACACCAAGTCTAATTGTTAAACAGCAAGATTTGTAATACAGAATCAATTTGAGTGTTGATAAAAAAGACAATTCTTTGAAAAGGTTAATATAGGTTGTTTTTTTTTCTCGCCTTGACAGAGTCAAAAAGCGAGACATAGGTATGCTGTTTCCGGCGTCGGCGTCGACAATGTATAAGTTTGTGATTAGGTCTAATTCATGGTGATCCACTAGTGGTAGGTCAATGATATTTGGTATGCAGTTGTATTAGCATTGGCACATCTCATTACCATGGAGATTATTTGGCCCCGCCCCTCAGTCAAGGTCTATTGACTTTGAAACTTTTCATAGTTTACATGTATTAGTTTGTGATTAGGTCAATTTATGGGGAACCACTAGTGGTAGGTCAATGATATTTGGTATGCAGTTGTAGAAGCATTGGCATATCTCATTTCCATGGAGATTATTTGGCTCTGCCCCCATAGTCATGGTCTATAGACTTTGAAAATTTTGCTAAGCTAACATGTATTAGTTTGTGATTAGGTCAGTTCAAGGGGAACCATTAGTGGTAGGCCAATGTTAATTTGTGTTCTGTTGTATAAGCATTAGCACATCTCATTTCCATGGAGAATATTTGGCCCCGCCCCCTCAGTCATGGTCTATTGACTTTGAAACTTTTCATAGTTTACATGTATTAGTTTGTGATTAGGTCAATTTATGGGGAACCACTAGTGGTAGGTCAATGATATTTGGTTATGCAGTTGTATTAGCATTGGCGCATCTTATTTCCATGGAGATTATTTGGCCCCGCCCCCTCAGTCAAGGTCTATTGACTTTGAAACTTTTCATAGTTTACATGTATTAGTTTGTGATTAGGTCAATTTATGGGGAACCACTAGTGGTGGGTCAATGATATTTGGTATGCAGTTGTATAAGCATTGGCATATCTCATTTCCATGGAGATTATTTGGCTCCGCCCCCTTAGTCATTATCTATAGACTTTGAAAATTTTGCTAAGTTAACATGTATTAGTTTGTGATTAGGTCAGTTCAAGGGGAACCATTAGTGGTAGGCCAATGTTAATTTGTGTTCCGTTGTATAAGCATTAGCACATCTCATTTCCATGGAGAATATTTGGCCCCGCCCCCTCAGTCATGGTCTATTGACTTTGAAACTTTTGCTTAGTTTACATGTATTAGTTTGTGATTAGATCAGTCTAAGATGAACTGCTAATGTTAAGTCAATGATATTTGGTATGCAAATGTATTGGCATTTGCAAATATCGTTTCCATGGAGATTATATAGCCCCACCCCTGATCATGATTCATTGACTTTGAAACTTTTACATAGTTTACAAGTTAATGTTTGTGTTTAGGTTTGTTTAAAGGGAACAACTTATAATAAGTCAGTGGTATTTGGTATGCAGTTGTATTAGCATTGGCACATCTCATTCCATGGAGATTGTCTAGCCATGTACCTTCAGTCATGGTTCATTGACTTTGAATATTTGCATAACTTACATGATAAAGTATTGCTATTTTAATTTCAACATTTGCATTATCAAAATTACAAAAAGGCGAGACATATCTCTGTGATAACAGTTTATTATTGTTTTCATCTTACATCTGTTTTGCAGGGAGCATATCACCCTTCCTTTGTATATAGTCATGAAGATATTGCTGAAATTATAGACTATGCCAGACTTAGAGGTATCAGAGTTATGCCAGAGTTTGATACACCAGGTAAGATTTATTCTGGTGTTAAGTGAAGTGTACTTCTTATGGACTCAAAGACTTTGAAGTTTCAATGTTAACATCTGGTTTGGGAAATAAGAGATGCAAAGATATAGTTGTAGTATTCAAGAAAAGAAAAGAAAAGAAAAATAAGGATTATGAGAAACCATATAAATATTATCAAACGACTAAAAAACCTGTCTGCTGAAAGTAAATTTATAGCTTTTGAAAATCATTTGTTGTGTATGATATGATATGAAATTATAAAGGTATTTTGATATAAATTTTATCAATGCCACATAGTGTCGTATTTGCCAGAATCTGACATGGAGCTGTACTAAAAAGAAAAGTATTTGTCTCTTTACATATATATTCCATACACAATAAAGGATAGATTTCACTTCCTGGCATCATATGTTTCTGCAACAATTTCATTTATTAAAAGAGAAAATTCAGTGGGATGATAAGTTTACAGCTTTTGTAATATAGTTTAACTCCGAATAAATTTTACCATTGCTAGACAATAATTCCTACAAGGCCTTGGAATGGAAATGTTTTGTTTTGTGATAAACAGAAGGGATAATTCATTATTATGCAACAAAAACTCTTCAAATTGATGAAAATTTTCATTTATCATTGCCAAATCACTGAATAATTGAATTTCTCTCTGTATGAAAGTTTCAACATTTCACAATATTTTATATTTACTACAAGCATACTTTCCCTTATGTTACAGGTCATACCTATTCATGGGGACTGAGTAGACCAGACTTGCTGACCCAGTGCTATCAAGGAGCTCATCCAGTAAATGGTTATTTGGGTCCCATGGATCCCAGTAAAAATGAGACCTACAGATTCCTGAAAAATTTCTTCAATGAAGTAATGCACGTGTTCAAAGATCAGTACCTACATTTAGGTGGAGATGAAGTTCCTATGACATGTTGGTATGTGGTTTGGTGGAGTCTTTCAAATTAATAAGAAAATAAACATTGGGTTAAGAAATAAAAGATTGGTAGATCTTTACATGTAATAAGATGTTAAAGCAGTTAATTGTTGACCTGAAGTTGTTAACATCCTTATTGTTAGGTGGAAGGTCATTGGCAATCATACCACATTTTTTTATTTTTATGAATTATTATACTGTATATGTACTTTTTTCACGTTGTATTTATTTTCACTAATTTCCCAGGTGTTATATTTTTTGCGAAAAAAATAAATACATGTGGATACAAATACAGCTTTATACATGTATATAAAAACCATTGAATAAATATCACTGGAATATACAACTGTACATGGATATTTAAATTGTTTACTTTTCATCTTAAATTTAACTGTGAAACTGTTTAAACAACACCAGTGATTCATACAGAAAACCAATTAAGGATAAAAGATAACAAATAATGCTCTATGCCAAATAGGACAGCTTTATTGTGAAATTAACAACTTAATTGCATAATAACCTCTATCAAACAGACAGTTGTTTTGATTATTGGATAATCTTTGTTAATTTTGTTTCATATTTTTGAACAAATAAAGACATAATTAATGAACATTAATCAGACCTGCCAACTTTTTAAAATCTCCATGGGGGATTTAGTGCACGGTTAGATTTTTAAGGGTTACAATTTTTGCTGCGTTTCTGTGTGCGCTGTTTTTACAAGCCCGTTTCCGGAAGTATTATGGTATACCCTTGTCCGTCTGTCTGTCCGTCCATCGTCAACATGTCAGACACTAACTCAAAAACGCTTTAACCAATTTGCATAAAACTTTGGTGAATTGTTTATATCTATTGACGTGAGCTCCCTTTCGTTTTTTTAGCTCACCGGGGCCCAAAGGGCCCCATGTGAGCTTATGCCATCACTTGGCGTCCGTCGTCGTCGTCTGTCGTCGTAAACTATTTCAAAAATCTTCTCCTCTGAAACTACTGGGCCAAATACCTTCGAACTTTAACTAAATGTTCCTTAGAGTATCTAGTTTATAAATTGTATCCGAAGTTTTGATCCATCAACAAACATGGCCGCCATGGCTAAAAATAGAACATAGGGGTCAAATGCAGTTTTTGGCTTATATCTCAAAAACTAAAGCTTTTAGAGCAAATCTGACATGGGGTAAAATTGTTCAATTGGTCAAGATCTATCAGCTCTGAAATTTTCAGACGAATCGAAAAACCCATTGTTGGGTTGCTGCCACCGAATTGGTATTAACAAAATTTTGCAGTTTTTTATTATTTTGAATATTATTATAGATATATATGAACTGTAAGCAGCAATAATGTTCAGGAAAGTAAGATCTACAAAAAAGTTTATTTATGACCATAATTGTCAATTGACCCCTTAAGGAGTTATTGCCCTTTAAAGACAATTTTACACAATTTGTTCATCAAGTTTGCTAACATTTAAAAATCTTCTCCTCTGAAACTACTAAGCCAATTACCTTCAAACTTTAACTAAATGTTCCTTAGGGTATCTTGTTTATAAATTGTATCCGAAGTTTGTATCCATCGACAAACATGGCTGCCATGGCTAAAAATAGAACATAAGGGTCAAATGCAGTTTTTGGCTTATATCTCAAAAACTAAATCTTTTAGAGCAAATGTGACATGGGGTAAAATTGTTTAATTGGTCAAGATCTATCGGCCCTGAAATTATCAGACGAATCGAACAACCCATTGTTGGGTTGCTGCCACCGAATTGGTAGTTTTAACAAAATTTTGCAGTTTTTTGTTATTATTTTGAATATTATTATAGATATATATAAACTGTAAGCAGCAATAATGTTTAGCAAAGTAAGATCTACAAAAAAGTTAATATGACCAAAGTTGTCAATTGAATCCTTAAGGAGTTATTGCCCTTTAAAGACAATTTTACACAATTTGTTCATCAAGTTTGCTAACATTTAAAAATCTTCTCCTCTGAAATACAGGTGAGCGATTCAGGCTCTTGAGAGCCTCTTGTTTACTCTTGAAATCGTCTAATATCTCTTTTTTTTTCTTTTGGTTTACTGATGATGAGCTAAATAGTCATTTTTTCTTTTATTTGCATGATTCTTGTACTTATTTATTGGCAAAATAACTTGAGAATAGAGAAAAATGGCCTAAAAAGATAAAGGATACAAAGTGAAGACCCCCCTTTTTCCCCTCCTGCTTATCTTTGCACCATGACTCAAAAGACCTAAACCTAAATGTCCTAAAGTTAGAAGAATGAAGACAGATCTTGAGTTAGTCCATTAGTATAAATGAGAAAATGGATAAATTTGAGTTATCTTTAGTGTTCAGAGGTGCTCTTACCAGGAGAGGCTTAAATACAGTAGAAGTGAATACAAAATGGCGTCAATTTTAAATCAGAAGTGGACAGATACACGTCTGATTTCAAAAAATTTAATGGATTTCAAGATAAATGCTGTTTTCTAATGAGTTCATAACAGTTTTTTGTCTTTCAGTTAATTACGATTTTGTCATGGAACTACGGTAAAGGTTGCAAATTGTGATCGTATGATAAATTGATTAAAATTGAAATGCCGACCATGCAACTGACAGATTCTATTCACAAATAAATTAATTTTGAGGATCGTTATGACCCATCAGATAAGCAAATTACCTGTAACAACAAATTATAATACCTGTTGTGACTGTTGATTAGCGTAGAGTCGTAAACTTGTCATGAATATGTTGCCAGGTAAAAATAGATTTATAGAAATTGAACAGAAAAACTTCAGAATCGGTAACCAATATTTTTATACGACTGCAATCGTATATTGGTATTGCTTTGTCGTCGTCGTCCAAAGACATTTGGTTTCCAGACAATAACTTTAGTATAAGTAAATAGAAATCTATGAAATTTAAACACAATGTTTATAAACACAAAAGGAAGGTTTGGATTGATTTTGGGGGTTATGGTTCTAACAGTTTAGGAATTGGGGGCCAAAAAAGGGCCCAAATAAGCATTTTCTAGTTTCCAGACAATAACTTGTGGAACGGTGTATGAATCTCTCTGAAATTTCCATTCCACAAAGGGATGGTTAGGATTGACTTTGGGGGTTATGGCTCAAACTGTTTAGGTATTAGGGGCAAAAAAAGGGGGAAAAACAAAGGTTTCCTGGTTAATGGACAATTTAAAAGCAGTGTAAGGGAGGTAATCCAAACACATTTAAAGTACAATGTTTGTATGTTTGGATTACCTCCCTTACACTGCTTTTAAATTATGTATAAAGAAATATTGTATTGTCTTGAGGTGATTAGCTGTCAATTTATTCTTAGAAGTTACTATTAAAGGAATATTAATTTTAGCAATGATTATGTATGTCATTTTCTATTTTAAGACTTTTATGATGTATTTAAATTGGTATTTGGAAAAGGAGGAGGGGGGTGGGGGGTAAAAAAGAAATTGTGGGGGGCAATTTTTTTTTCCATTTCAGATTTCAGATATTAAAAAGAAAATTTCTTCAAATATTATTTTTTTTTGCAAAAAAAAGGGGGGGGGGGTGGTCAATATGCAACAGGATAGTGTATTTATTTCACTAAAGCAAAAAAAAAGGGGGGTTAAATTTTTTTATGGGGGTGGGTGGGTGGGTTGGTCAATTTGCAACAGCATAGTGTATTGCACAATACAAAAAATCGAATATAAATTCAAATCATATAACCAATTCTAAGTTCTTTGGCTACAGTTATTCGGTGTCAGAAACCTATTATGTGTAAAATATTTAATTACAATCCAAATTCAGACCTGTATCAAGCGTGAATATTGTGTCCATTTTGGCCCCAACTGTTCAGAGTTGAACCTCTGTGGTCGTATCCAGCTGCGCTCAGCTAAGCATTTTATTTCCGGATAGTTGTTGTGAAAATCAGGATTTTGACTTGTATTATGATCCCAATATCGGGATTCAGGTTGAGGCATGAAAATTGGAATAGTTGGCAGGTCTGATTAATATATTTAAATATTTTATGTTGGTTATTTATGTTTAGTTTTTTTCTAAAATACATGTACTGATAAATTAAATACATATGAATTCATCAGCAATAACAAATTGTGAAAAAATAAGTACCATAAAAAAGTTCAGAAACAATAAGTCAAACAGAAATTGGTAAAAAGACTACTAAAGATAACTGGTATCTTTGTGCAAGAAGTGTTGACTTTCCAAAATATCAATTAGGTTATAAAAATTTAATTTCAGTTCTTTTAATTATAAGGAGGTAACAGCTGGAAAATTTTACTTTGTTTCCCTTAAAAAAGAATTCTAAAGGTATTAAATAGGTGATTGGAAAATTTCTTCAAAATTGTTAAGTAAAGAATTAAGCAACCTATATTGCAGCTTTCTCAATAGAAAAAAAATGTTTAGAATGCATTATAAATAGCAGATGAAAGCAGATTACTGAATTAAGTACAATTTACAGGCTTTCTGGATATTTCTATTTAATTGAGTTTCATAGCATTGTCTCGCCTGCGATGAAAGTTGCAGTACATGTATTACAATCCGGCAGTGGCAACATCGTAAACTATTTGTTAAAAGCTTTATATTTCAGAAGGTAGAAGACCTGGATGCTTCATACCTTGTATGCAGATACCTTTTGTTACATATTTTCAGTCTGTCATATGTCCATTGTCCTTGACCTCATTTTCATGGTTCAGTGACTGCTTGAAAAAAAATAATTCAGTTTATACTCACTTATTATGAGTAATAGGATAACTATATTTGGTATATGTGTTCTTTGTAAAGTCTACATGCCCTTCAGGTAGGGCTCACATGACCAAGACCTTATTCCATGGATCAGTGACCAAGGTTAAAGTTGCGTGGTCAAGTCAGTATCTCTTATTCTGTAATCAATAGGTCAACTATATTGGGTGTATGGAATTATTGTTAGGGTATATGTCCCGACTGACAGGATTATTCTGACCTTGACCTCAATTTCATGGTTCATTGAACATGTTTAGTTTTTGTGGTTTGGTCTTTTTCTCAGATACTATAAACCATAGATCAACTATATTTGGAGTATGGAATTATTGTAAGGGGTATATGTCTGACTGACAGATTTCAATTGACTTTGACTTTAATTTCATGGTCAATTATAATTTTGTGATTTTGTCAGTTTATCAGATACTATTAGCAGTAAGCCAAATACATATTTGGTGTATGGAATTATTGTAAGGTGTACATGTCTGTCTGGCAGGGTTCATATGACCTTGACCTGAATTTCATGGTTTATTGGTCAATGTTAAGTTTCTGTGATACTTGTAGTAAAACTTTCATATTACAAGACTTTCAACATAAATTCAATGATAAGTAAAACTGGCGAGACATTTCAGGGTATTAGATTATTTTTAGCCTTGATATATTTATGTATTCATCTTTTACTTTTTAGGTCCTCCAATCCAGAAGTGTTAAAGTTATTAAATCAGCTTGAGGGCAAACCAGACCAGCCAATAAACTTACAGAATAATGATCCTTACATGTACAGTTATGAAATCAGAAAAGTTCTCGAGTATTATGAAAAGAGGTAACATTCTATAAATCTCATCTGTCATCATTTTTGTCTGTGATGAGTGTCTGCTGTCACTATCCTCTTTGCGATATCATAGTCCACACCTTGGTTAAGTTTTAGGTCCATCTAAGCTGGTGTATGTATGATAGAAATTTGATGTTAGGTATATTGTTATGTTTGTGTAACACAATTAGGGAACAAATAAAATGACCCAAGCGTAGAGAATCTATTAAGATTAAAGATTCATTAAAACTATAATTAAACTGAATAATTATGTCAGGTCCCTTTGACTTCAACTAATCAAGGTTCAACTGTATCTGTTTCACTTTAATATATTGTAAGTTGATTCTACTGAAAAGTCTTAATTCTAAAGATATGTTGTAATTAACAAGTATATTTCAATATTATTAAAGATTGACGACTGATCTGAAAGACATTGGAAGTAAAAGACCAAATGGTGTACGATTTGTTATGTGGCAGGAGATCATGAATAATAATGTTCAGGTATAGTATATAATAATATTAACCAACGGCTATACCATTTTACTTTATAACTTGGAACAGGTAAAGGCGGTATTCAGTTGTAGAATAAGAAAGATGAAATGGATATAAATTCTACATCAGTCCTATGAAAAACTTGGAGAAAACTTTTTTCATAGGGATTACACCTTTTTTTTTGCAGTTCTTGCATTTTGATTTTTGATTTTTGAGGCCACGGATGAGTTATATATGAAATATGGGTCTTATGAATAAAATTACAAGCCTGGGTAAGTTATACTAAAATGTTCATGACTTACGAGTGTTTTTTCTCGTAAGATTTTTTTGTGGAATTAGTGGCTGGTATCTTTGATGAGTTTGGGCAGTTACTGGAATGCTTTCAGAAATGTCCTAATTGCAAACCCTTTATTGTCGAGCCTTCGACTTTTGTCGAAAAAGCGAGACATAGCGATCCTACATTCCGTCGGCGTCGGCGGCGGCGTCCACAAATATTCACTCTGTGGTTAAAGTTTTTGAAATTTTAATTACTTTCTTAAACTATCCTGGATTTCTACAAAACTTGGACAGAAGCTTGTTTATGATCATAAGATAGTATCCAGAAGTAAATTTTGTAAAAAAAAATTCCTGTTTTTCCGTATTTTACTTATAAATGGACTTAGTTTTTCTGCCAGGAAACATTACATTCACTCTGTGGTTAAAGTTTTTAAAATTTTAATAACTTTCTCAAACTATCCTGGATTTCTACCAAACTTGGACAGAAGCTTGTTTATGATCATAAGATAGTATCCAGAAGCAAATTTTGTAAAAAAAAAAAATCCCAGTTTTTCCGTATTTTACTTATAAATGTACTTAGTTTTTCTGCCAGGAAACATTACATTCACTCTGTGGTTAAAGTTTTTAAAATTTTAATGACTTTCTCAAACTATCCTGGATTTCTACCAAACTTGGACAGAAGCTTCTTACAATAAAAAAAATTGTATTGAGAGGAATATTTTTATTAAATTTTATCCTCATCTCATTTTTGTTGAGCCTGCGATTAACAGCAAAAGTAGGCGAGACACTGGGTTCCGCGGAACCCTTACGAATTTTTATATAGAAAGAACACTGATATATATTAATTACTGTTGCAAATGTATTGTTTAATAAGTTAACATGTAAAAAGGCACAACGTCATTAAATGGTATTATATTTGATTGAAGATTTTTTAATATTGAAATCATTTCAATGGATATATAGCTTTTGTTAAATTTCCGCAACAACATTAGATTTTTCCAATCATCTTTATGAATAATAACAGATGAGAATGCTTAAATTTTTGCCAGCTAAAACTGAAATTGCCAAATCATTAAAAATTTGATACCCATTCTGAATCATATTTTTATTTCCATTGTGGCTAGATAACAATTGGAATGAAATTTCTGAATCATAATAAGACTTGATGAACTTATTCAAGACTTGTGTTTGTATTTTTAGCTCCCCAATGATACCATCATACAGATATGGCAGGGTGACATGGGAGATGTACAGAGAGCAATAGATATGGGATATAATGTTGTGTATTCTACATGTTGGTACCTAGATCTCATAGAATATGGTGTAAAGTGGCCCAAATATTACAACTGTGACCCAGTTGATACTTCATTTGGTACGTAGAATATTGTGTTTGGTGTATCATTGCCAAAAAATCCATGCAAATTGTAGGCAATTTGGCAAGTAGGCATTTAGTGCTGCTATGCTCTTAGAGTATTGTTTTTTTCATGACTGACATTGAAATGTCAAATCGTTTTTGCTTACAATAAAATATTGTTCTGTTTAAAAAAAAAAAGTTGTTTGATGTTCATATCTGTTCATATATCATTTAAGGGTTTTTAGGATTATACCTAAGGTTGAGTACTAGAAACTAAAAAAACAGGATACCATATTCTGTAACTGAATTATTTACCAGATAAAACACTTGAGAATTCGATTTATTGTACCACATGTTTGAAAAGGTTTTGTCTTGTACAGGTATTAATATTGTTTTAAACACTTTCCCAACACTTTGTTATTTGCATGTTCCCATATACTTGATGTCAAACTTAAATGAAGTATCAGGAGTTGAGACTTAGGATTTTGTTTTCTGCAGATAAGCTGGTGGCATCAACAATAGGTTAAAGTTTGAAAACCATGTAAGATATGGCAACAACATATGGTATGCATTTGCAAATCTCATTTCAACTGAAGTTATTTGACACCGCTTCTCAGTCATGGTCTATTGACTTTGAAACTTGAATAGTTTAAATGTTAAAGTTTGTGATAAGGTTAATTAAAGGGGAGTCATTGACAGTAATTAATATTTGGTACCGGTATGTAATAATACTAGCAATAGCACATTTCATATCCACTTAGAATATCTGGCCCTCCACCTCAGCCATGGTTTATTTGATTTGACACATTTTTATAAATTACACGTTAAAATTTGTGATAACGTCAATTTAAGGGAATCAGTTATGACATTTGATATGCATTTGTATTAGCATTGGCATATCTTATTTCTACAGAGATTATTTGGCCCTGTACCCTCTTTCGTGGTTTATTGACTGAATGTTTGGCCTAGTTAACATGTTAAAGTATATCCTTTTGATTTCAACATTTCATTTTACTACAAAAAAAAATGCAGGCGAGACATCTTTTTATGTCATTAGTTTATTTGACAAAGGATTTATTAAGTTTTTCCCTATAGTTGTCTTTAGTTTTTTGCTATGACGTTTAAGGAATTATTAAATAATGCAGAATAATTTTAAAGCTGCATAAGAACATTAATATTCAGTCTTGTTTACAGGAGCAAAATTTAATAAAAACACTTTCAAAAATTGGAGCACTTAACCCACCTCTTGCATTGACTGATGTCTTCATTTATTTACTTCCAATTAGTTTCTTTGTTATGATAATCTAGCATTGGTTACTATGATTGCCACTATTTTCTACCTTATGTACCGAGGATTCATTAATATTTGTGGGACACCAATTTTTGATGATTTTTCGTGGGTATGTGTGAAACACGGATCAACAAAATACAAATACTCTATAAGCTTGTATGCAAATTTTGTTAAGACCATGAAAATCAAATATCCATGAAACTACAATATTCCCTCAATTCACGAAAATTTGGTACCCACAAAAATTAATTAATCCACATTAAGATTTACAAATGAAAGCTAATAAAGAATTTTTCAAACCATAAGACAGGCTTTTAAACAATTTTAAACATATCTGGTTTGAGGGTATATGTGCCTTTATTTCAGAAGATTTTGATTCAGGTAACTCCTAGTTGCATAAACATGTTATCTTGCTTATGTACTTTGTATGCTTTGTTCTTATTATGTTGTATTCTGTTATTTTGTTATATCTTTAATACCCAATATGTATAACTCAATTTCTTTTTTTGCAAACACATTTTGTGGGTTCTTGTGAATAGAATATATGATTGAAAGTATATAAACTGTTTGACAGGTGTTTCCATTTTTAGAACAAGATTTTGTTTAACTTTTAATACTACTATGTTCATAGTTTTATGTACTATACAATGATGTGACACTTAGCAGCAAGATATGTCACCCAACATGGACTATTTGTTCTGAATCAAATTTCCTTAGTCTATGTTTTCACTCCCAAATGCTTGGGTATGTTTGTAAGAACTCCATATTCGAAAAAGAAAAAATGAAGAACTGTTAATAACATGTCATTGAAAAGAGAAGGTACATTTTGGGACTTATTTGACCCCCTGTTAATTAATACAGGAAAAGGAATAAAAATATTTATGGATTATTCAAATAATATATGAGCTGCGTCGTATAAAAATCAACCTTATGCAAATGAATATTAATATATCTGTTAACCTATCAAGTTCGGGTAGAAAAATCTCTATGCAAAGTCTGTAACTGTTTGAAAATTGAGTTGTTATAAGAATCTACAAAACAGACCAAAATTCATCTTTTAATTTGTATTTGAATGTTCAAAAAAAATGTAAAGTCTTATACATGTACATGTATATGTGCACTTGCATAAGGTTGATTTCTAACCGACACAGCTCATATGTTTGGATAAAAAAGAAATGTTGTCAGTAGTGAAGTATATAGATTCAACATTTATTTGAAGAAATTTTCAAATAAATTTTATTTTAGGGCCAGTTTAGCTTCAAATCGTACCTTCTATTTTGTTTAAACTCTTATTCCTATTAGCCATGCACACACACTCCCAACCAAGATTACAAATCTGACCATATTCAAGTCTGAAACACTATAAAAATGAGAATGCATAAACTATACGCATATTTAAGATTTAATATTCAAGGAATCCTTTATTATTTGCACTATAAAAACCCTTAATTGAGTAAAATTGGTCTATGATCAGAATATTGAATTATTGTCAAAATGAATAAAATGAATTGTCAGTTTGAAATTCTTAGAATCAGCAACCCAATAACAAAATACAGCCAAAAAAGACATCTCAATGTTAACATATGGCCTTTGGTGATGGAAGAGTGTCTACTGCTTGATCACCTCAATTCTAGACTAGTTATTGACTATTTCAACAGTAGCTACCTTAGGTCTGCCATCAACACCTAATCCTTTAATGTACAAAACATTTAAAGATTAATAGTATCTCATGGATTCAAATGCTAGAATAAGAAAACTGAAGAGCATACACCTCAAGCATTGGAATACATTATTCTGTTTCCACACAGCAATTGTATATGTGAAATCAAAGTGTAAAAACACTCGAAAATCTGTCGTAATTATGCAACGTATATTAACTGTGGATGTTATGTTTTTTTCCTGAAAATAAAGACTTGTGATTTAAAGCTATTGATATTTCTTTTGAAGAATATTATATACCGTATTGAATTACTTCCAGCAAATACTTTAATATGTAAGTGTTCACTTTCGGATTTGAAAACCCTGGTTCTTATTTCTTACCTACAATTATGGGAAGATTTAAAAATATTTCTTGGTAAAATTGCTTTAAATGATATTTACTGTGATTTCATTATAATTTGTTGGATACCAATTTTCGTCGATTTTCTGGGTAAACAAAAACCACAAATTTAAATGTTCATCAAAGTACAAGTTTTATATAAGCTTGTATGCAAACTTTTGTGTAAAACCATGAAATTAAATATTCACGAAAATACAAGTTTTCCTTAATTTACAAAAATTGGTACCAAGGAAAATAAATGAATCCACAGAAGTGCACTTCCATATTTATGATTTTATCTGCTTGAATTTTTGTATTTCCAATGGTAGAGTCCATAGCCAAACATGGACTCTACCATTTCTTCATTTAGGGAAGTGTGTCAGTGCAACATCTGGCAATACTTCCATTTGAACCTGCCCTTTACCTATGTATATTGTTTATTCCATCAACTAGGGGGGTTCAAATGGAAGTCTGTCTAAATAACATTTCTTGATTTAATTCATTAATTTTTGGGGTTTCCCATGTTTCCTATAGCAAACCTTAGACTTAAAAAACTACAATTAATAACCTTTTCAGTCAATGTTATTTGTAATCTGAATCTATTAAAAATTGAATAAGAATAAATGATAAAGATATTGTCAGTTTTGCAGATATTGTATTTAAAAAATTGGGAAAGGTTATTTTGACAGAAGCAATAATAGAACAATACACATTTAAGGAAACCCTGCACAAATTTGCTGAATTAGTTTGTACTGAACATCCTGTTGATATTTTGATTTTTAAACAGATATTTCACAATTAACAAACTTCATTTATTTTGACAATTTATCATTTCATTGATGTTCATTATATAAATAAGTGATAGATAGAATGATACCTGCCTTTATATATTTATATATACCTACCCTGTTATTTTCACTGGATTGACATCAGTATGATAACAGGGCAGATATGAAAAAAGACAGGTACATGTAAGGATCTAAAAATATGAAACTGAATAAGAATCTTGTATCATGCAAGATTGGTTCTCTCTTAATTTGTTCAAATTACAATAGTCATTTTCCAAAAAGTATTAAGATTTATGTATTTTATAGGATATCAAATTAATGAGAAGAAAGTATTAGGAGGAGAGGCCTGTATCTGGGCAGAATATCTTGATAATGAGAACTTGATGACAACTTTATGGTAGGTTTTTGGTGTCTTAACATTTACATTGTTTACGGTGGATTTGTTCCTACAATTAAATTGCTTGTTTGAAGGACTAAATACAGTAAAACGTTTACTGCATAAGGTTGTTCGATTGATTGGATTTCATGCCTTTTTAGTCATAATTGAACAATTACATGGAAATCAGTTCATTTGTCAATGGAAATCATAGAAAGCCACCAATGTTTGGTTAAGAACACCCAAGTTTATCTCCTTATATATTTATTATGTTTATAATGTCACTCAAATATGTACAAAATTAAATGCCAAAAAAAGGACCACAAGGAATTTTGTCATTAACAAATAGGAACAATTTCAAGTTAATGTTTCTCTATTTAGGCCAAGAGCATCAGCTCCTGCAGAAAGATTGTGGAGTAATAAAGAAGTCCGAGATGTAGAGGCGGCAGGAAAAAGACTGACTGAACATAGATGTAGAATGTTGAGGTAGGTCTATTTATAGCTGGACTGAACATAAATGTAGAATGTTGAGGTAGGTCTATTTATAGTTAGTCTAGATTGAACATTAGGAAACTGCAGGAAACATGGTAACATAGGTTTTAAAATTACACTGTAGAATGTTTGATTTTAGATTGGTTTTCCTGGATTTGAGATTTTCTATAAATGAGGATATTCTCATGTAAGTGTACAGATAAACTTTGATCATTGTTGTTTAAGCACTTTGCCATTCACACTAATAGCAGGAACAGGAACATATAGACAATGGCAACTAGACAATACAAATATAATCATACAAATGCCCTTTAATTCATTAGAATAAGAAACAATACAATAAATATATCCATCATGAGAATTGTTGACTGTTTTTGTTGCTTTTTCAGTGTCATTTTTAACCCACTATCGTAAAGTTTTCTAATCAGGTCAATTTCAAAAAAAGTACTATTGACATGTCATTCATACTTTGTATGCAGTTGCATCAGCATCAGGAGGGGGGTCATTTTGGGTCATGACACTCTGACTTGAATAGTCAAATTTCAATCTGAATCTTGGCTTTAATTGTGTCTGTGTTGAAGTCCTCACTGTGACTTTAAGATGAAGAACAGCAATTAAAGCACTGTGCCTTTGTTTTTTGTGTGTTTTTTTTTCTGTGCATGTACTGATTTTGTGTCATTTCCACTGTTTTTTCAATTACATAGTGTTTATTGTTTTCAAAAGGGGGATGGACAAACTTTATTTGGAATTTTATTATATTAACATCTGAAAATGTATATCTCACATTTGAAGAGGTATTGATGCCAAAGTTTTTAGTCCTTCTCCACTGAATTTGAAGTAATTACATTGTTCAGTGATAAGTTTTCTGTTCAGGTAAGTTTTAAAAATTGAGTGAAACCTGTGTTTTGCATTTGCGCCGATCTGCATTTCACTTGCGCTGATTTTTTCTTTCACTTGGGCCGATTATTTCTTTCATTTGCGCCGATTGTTATACAGGTAAATAACAGGTGAAAACTATTTTATTTATCATTATAAACCTCTTCCGCTAGCCAGTTATACATATGTTATGAATAACCAATTAAAACATGCATATAACTGTTGCCACCTGCCCACAATGGGGAGGTGGAATAAAATTGAGAATGGAAATGGGGAATTTGTCAAGAGACAACAACCCGACCAAAGAGCAGACAACAGCCGAAGGCCACCAATGGGTCTTCAACGCAGCGAGAAAGTAGGATTTCGAGGAAAACAAGTCAATATTAAGGTTAAAAGCACTCTGTTTACATCCACTAAAATAACTGAGTATAGCAATAAAATATCAAATGATATAAAAATCTATTTACAGCCTTTAAAATATCAAAGGACAATAAAACCTCTTTACGCCATGAAAAAAGCACAGCATTAAAATGCAGAAAGGAGCAAATGGAACTTGAAATTATTGAATCGGTGCAAATGAAACAACCAAATCGGCGCAAATGAAAGATTGAAAATTTATAAAATCGGCGCAAATGTCATATGCCCAGTGAAACTTGTCTTGTTTACTAAAGCCCCTTAGGATATAACAATTAGTTTTCAAACATCAGGTGTCCTGTTTATACAGGTTATTCAGAATTCAGAAATTATTGCGATGTTTTTATTATTGTGAAAAATGCAACAGGGTTATAATCGCAATAATTAAAACACGCATTTTGAAATTTTTATATGAATTAAACAGGATTTTTCCCAATATCGCAAAAATAAAATCGCATTTTAGACTAAAATGACAAAATCGCAATAATAAAAGCACACAATAATTTCTGAATTTACAGTAGATTATTAAAGTATATTGTCATAATAAGAAAGTTCATTTTAGATAGGTTTTAATGCCCCCATCGTAGCAGAGGGGGCATTAAGTTTTACCCTTGTCCGTACATCTGTATGTCCCAAAGTTGGTTTCTGTTCTCTAACTTTAGTTTGCCGCAACCAAATGTTATGAAACTTATACACAATGCTTATTACCACAAAACACAGATCAAGTTTAAAATTGGGTGCCGTCACGATAATGGTTCTTGAGTTATGCCCCTTTATAAACATAAAAATTGCTGAATATTTTGTTTCCGTTCTCTAACTTAAGTTTGCCTCAAACAAATGTTATGAAACTTATATACAATGCTTACTACCACATAATACAAATCAAGTTTGAAATTGGGTGGCGTCACTTTTACCGTTCTTGAGTAATGCCCCTTTATAAACATAAAAATTGTTGAATTTTTTGTTTCCATTCTCTAACTTTAGTTTGCCTCAACCAAATGTTATGAAACCTATACACAATGCTTATTAACACATAATACAGATCAAGTTCAAAATTGGGTGGCGTCACTTTTACCGTTCTCGAGTTATGACCCTTTATAGACATAAAAATTGCTGAATATTTTGTTTCCGTTCTCTAACTTTAGTTTGCCTCAACCAAATGTTATGAAACTTTTACACATTGCTTTTTACCACTTAATACAAATCAAGTTTGAAATTGGTTGGTGTCACTTACCGTTCTTGAGGTATGCCCCTTTATAAACATAAAAATTGCTGAATTTTTCGTTTCCATTCTCTTACTTTAGTTTGCCTCAACCAAATGTTGTGAAACTTATACACAATGCTTATTACCACAAAACGCAGATCAAGTACAAATTTGAGTAGGGTCACTTTTACGGTTCTTAGGTTATGTCCCTTTATATCTTTATATGATATGCAAGCGGGGGCATCATCTGTGTCCCATGAACACATTCCACATTTATTGGTTATAGTTTATAAGAATATGAAGATGCGATATGATTGCCATTGAGACAACTATCCACCAGAGACAAAATGACATGGATCTGTTAGCAACTATAAGTCACAGTATGTCCTTCATCAATGAGCAAAACCTTTACCTTATAGTAAGCTATAAAAAGCTCTGACATAACAAAATGTAAAACAATTTTCTGCCTTTCCAATATACAATGATATTGGCACTTAACAAATTACTGTTCTCGATTTTGCTGCAAAACTGCCCATGTGTCAAATGGTTAATTTAATTTTGAATTTTAATATAGAGTTACAGTGTTATTATGTTTTAATTTCAGTCGAGGTTTACAGGTTGGAACAATAAGTGGGCCAGATTATTGTTTACGTCGAGGCCGTAGGCATGACCGTGACGGTGTAAGGAACTGTACAGGAGATAAATGTTACCGTGATGTTATTCAGTACGAGAAGATTAACGTCCACGTACAACAGAGAGGGAAGGCTGATTGTAATCAGGTTTGTGCCTTTACCTGTTCTTGTAGTTAAATTTGAAAATCTGAAAATATTGAATATACAGATACTATAATTAAACAGATATTCATATTACTTGAGTAACTTTCATTCCAAGTAAATGTCAGAACAAATTAGGATGAAAGAGTTTTAGTACAAAAGATTGAAGGGTTCATGAACAGAAGTTATATTGTTTTTCTGTGGAATAAAATGATTCAATACATCTTATTTCAGCAGATTCTGTTAAGTCAATTAGGACCATTTCATGTATTCTGTTAGTTTTATACATATGCCATAATGTGTGAAATATGTTCGTAACTTCAAACAAAGTTTGTTATACCAATCAGATAGGTAGCTCATCTTTATGCTTAAAAAAACATTCTAATTCAAAGTACAATGATGCACTGTTAAAACTCTCCTTTATTTTATATACGACCACAAAATATTTGCTTTCGTATATTGCTATCACGTCGTCGTCGTCGTCATCCGAAGACATTTGGTTTCCGGACAATAACTAGTTAAGTGTCTGGATCTCTATGAAATTTTATCAAAAGGTTCAATACCACAAATGGAAGGTTGGGATTGATTTTAGGGGTGATGGTCACAACCAGTTAGGAATTAGGGGCCAAAAAGGGGTCCAAAACAAGCATTTTTCTAGTTTCAGGACAATAACTTGTGTATAAGTATTTTGATTGCTCTGAAATTGTACCACAAGGTTCAATACCACAAGTAGAAGGTTGGGATTCAATGATTTTGGGGGTAATTGCCCAAACTGTTCAGGAATTAGGGGCCAAAAAGGGACCAAAACAAGCATTTTGTAGTTTTCAGACAATAACTTGTGTTTAAGTGTATGGATGTCTCTTAAATTGTACCACATTTTATAAAAAGAAAATTTCTTCAAATATTATTTTAATAAATATTGGGGGTCACAATTTATTTTGCTAATTCTTTGTATATAGTCAGAAAGCGTCGTCGGCGTCGTCGTCCGAAGACACATTAGTTTTCGCACTCTAACTTTAATTTAAGTGAATGGATCTCAATGAAATTTTACCATAAGGTTCAATACCACAAAAGAAAGGTGGGGTTTGATTTTGGGGGTTATGGTACCAACAGTTAAGGAATAAGGGGCCAAAAATAAGCATTTTTGTAACTTCCAGACATAACTTGTGTGTAAGTGTATGGATCTCTCTGACATTGTACCACAAGGTTCCATATCACAAAAGAAATGCTGGGATTGATTTTGGGGGTAATTGCCTCCAAATTTTAGGAATTAGGGGCAAAAAAGGGGCAAAAAACAAGCATTTTTCTAGTTTCATGACAATAACTTGTGTGTAAGTCTATGGATCTCTCTGACATTGTAACACAAGGTTCCATACCACAAAGGGAATGCTGGGATTGATTTTGGGGGTAATTGCCTCCAAATTTTAGGAATTAGGGGCCAAAAAGGGGCGAAAAACAAGCATTTTTGTCGAGCCTTCGACTTTAGTCGAAAAAGCGAGACAAAGCGATCCTACATTCCGTCGGCGTCGTCGTTTTTGGCGGCGGCGTCCACAAATATTCACTCTGTGGTTAAAGTTTTTGAAATTTTAAAAACTTTCTTAAACTATCCTGGATTTCTACCAAACTTGGACAGAAGTTTGTTTATGACCATAAGATAGTATCCAGAAGTAAATATTGTAAAAATAAAATTCCATTTTTTCCGTATTTTACTTATAAATGGACTTAGTTTTTCTGCCGGGAAATATTACATTCACTCTGTGGTTAAAGTTTTAAAATTTTAATAACTTTCTTAAACTATCCTGGGTTTGTACCAAACTTGGACAGAAGCTTGTTTATGATCATAAGATATTATTCAGAAGTAAACTTTGTAAAAAAATAAATACATTTTTTCCTTATTTTACTTTTAAATGGACTTAGATTTTCTGCCAGGAAACAACACATTCACTCTGTGGTTAAAGTTTTTAAAATTTTAATAACTTTCTTATACTATTTTGGATTTGTACCAAACTTGGACAGAAGCTTGTTTATGATCAAAAGCTAGTATCTAGAAGAAATTTTGTAAAAAAATAAATCTATTTTTTTTATATTTTACTTTTAAATGGACTTAGATTTTCTGCCAGGAAACAACACATTCACTCTGTGGTTAAAGTTTTTAAAATTTTAATAACTTTCTTATACTATTTTGGATTTGTATCAAACTTGGACAGAAGCTTGTTTATGATCAAATGCTAGTATCTAGAAGGAAATTTTGTTTTCTTCCAGATAAAATTACATTCAGTCTGCAGTTAAAGTTTTTAAACATTTATTAGATTCATAAACTATCATGGATTTTTACCAAACTTGGACTGAAGATTCTTACAATCAAAAGATAGTATCAAGTGGAATATTTTTATTGATTTACTTCCTCATTTTTATACGCCTGTTTACGGGACGTATTATGGTATACCGTTGTCCGTCTGTCCGTCCGTCTCTCCGTCGTCAACATGTCGGACATAAACTCAAAAATGCTTTCACCAATTTGCATAAAACTTTGGTGAATTGTTTATATCTATTGACGTGAGCTCCCTTCCGTTTTTTATAAAATTTAGATTTTATGTTTCCGAGTATGGGGTTATAGTCATAAAAAAAAGGGGGATTTTCCAGTTTTCGGACAATAAGTCAAGAATGCTTTCACCAACTTGCAAGAAATTGTGGTGAATTGTTTATATCTATTGACATGAGCTCCCTTTCGATTTTTATAAATTTTAGATTTTACGTTTCCGAGTTACAGGGTTTTATTCATAAAAAAAGGGGGGATTTTTCAGTTTTCAGACAAAAACTCAAAAATGCTTTCAGCAATTCTTATGTAACTTTGGTGAATTGTTTGTATGTATTGATGTAAGCTCCCTTTAAAATTTTATAAATTTTACATTTTACATTTCTAAGTTATGGGGTTTTATTCATTAAAAAAGGGGTGATTTTCCAGTTTTCGGACAATAACTCAAAATGCTGTCACCAATTCTCATGAAACTTTGGTGAATTGTTTATATCTATTGATGTAAGCTCCCTTTTTATTTTCATAAATTTCTAATATGACATTGAGAATTAATTGAACTTTATTTGTTTATAGGCTGACAACAGATACTGTGGATTCATTATTATTCGTTGGATACCAATTTTCGTGGATTTCGTGGGTACAGTTGAACCACGAATTTAAATATTTAACTAATTGCAAATTTTCTATAGGTTTGTATGTAGACTTTGGCAAAACCACGAAATCAAATATCCACGAAAATACAGGCATTCCTCAATCCACGAAAATTGGTACCCACGAAAATAAATGAATCCACAGTATACTAAGTATTGCACAACAGCAAGAAATCTTTAATTGAATATAAATTCAATTCATATAACCAATTTCAAGTTCTTTGACTACATTTATTCAGAAACCTATAATATGTCAAATATTTAATTACAATCCAAATTCAGACCTGAATCAAGCTTGAATATTGTGTCCATTTTTGCCCCAACTGTTCAGGGTTGGACCTCTGCGGGTGTATCTAGCTGCGCTCAGCGAAGCAGTTTATTGTAGAGCCTGTGATTAACAGAAAAAGTAGGCGAGACACTGGGTTCCGCGGAACCCTTACGAATTTTTCTAGTTTCATGACAATAACTTGTGTGTAAGTGTATGGATCTTTATGAAATTGTACTACAAGGTTCCATATCACAAAGGGAAAGCTGGAATTGAGTTTGGGGGGAATTGCCCAAAAAGTTTAGGAATAAGGGGCCAAAAAGGGGCCAAAAATAAGCATTTTTCTAGTTTCCAGACAATAACTTGTGTTCAAGTGTATGGATCTCTCTGAAATTGTACTGCAAGGTACCATATCACAAAGGGAAGACTGTGATCGATTTTGGGGGTAATTCCCTCAAAATTTAAGTAATTAGGGGCCATAAAAGGGCAAAAAAACAAGCATTTTTCTAGTTTCAGGACAATAACTTGTGTGTAAGAGTATGGTTCTTTATGAAATTGTACTGCAAGGTTCCATATCACAAAGGGAAAGCTGGGTTTGAGTTTGGGGGTAATTGCCCTAAACGTTTAGGAATTTGGGGCCAAAAAGGGGCAAAAAAACAAGCATTTTCTAGTTTCCAGACAATAACTTGTGTTCAAGTGTATGGATCTCTCTGAAATTGTACTGCAAGGTACCATACCACAAAGGGAAGGCTGGGATTGAGTTTGGGGGTGATGAATCATAAGGGGGTTCAAAAAATTGGGGAGGGGATTTTTTTTTCTTTTTTTTTCTTTAAAATTTCCATTTTAAATTGGTTATTTCTGATTTATATATAAAAGCAAATAATAATGATATGGTCTGAATAGGTAAATTTAAAATTTTTAAGTTCTTAGACCACTTTCATTCTGTGTCAGAAACCTATGCTGTGTCAAATATTTAATTACAATACAGATTCAGAGATGTATCAAGCTTGAATGTTGTGTCCATACTTGCCCCAACTGTTCAGGGATTGACCTCTGCAGTCGTATCAAGCTGCGCCCCAGCGGAGCATTTTATTATAGTTTGTTCTTTCTTATGTTGTAATGTTACACCAGTGTCCCAGGTAAGGGGGAGGGTTGGGATCCCGCTAACATGTTTAACCCCGCCACATTCTGTATGTATGTGCCTGTCCCAAGTCAGGAGCCTGTAGTTCAGTGGTTGTCGTTTGTTTATGTGTTACATATTTGTTTTTTGTTCATTTTTTGTACATGAATTAGGCCGTTAGTTTTCTCGTTTGAATTGTTTTACATTGTCATTCTGGGCTTTTTATAGCTGATCGTGCGGTATGGGCTTTGCTTATTGTTGAAGGCCGTAAGGTGACCTATAGTTGTTAATTTCTGTGTCATTTGGTCTCTTGTGGAGAGTTGTCTCATTGGCAATCATACCGCATCTTCTATTTATATTGAATATTGTGTCCATTTTTGCCCCAACTGTTCAGGGTTGGACCTCTGCGGTCGTATCCAGCTGCGCTCGGCGAAGGACATTTTTAAAACAATATGTTGACCTCTGTGTGTCATCTGGGTTTTGTTTTGTTGACTTTCGTTTCATTGACATATATTCCTTGTACTTATATAGTGGAACTCTTCTATAGATCTGTTCAAGTTAGGTTTTTGGGTAAAGATTGCATGAAATGCAATCAAAACCCTATGGTACTGATTTGATATCTATATCTTCCAAGGTGGATCACTTTTGATAGTTCAAACAAAATAGTGCAGTGAAGTGATCATTATTTAGATCCTATCCAGTCAATGTCGTGCAATTTATTGATGATATGTTATACTTTCATATTTAAGTTACAATATGATGTGTATTTGAATTACCATACATGTAAAGAAAAACTTTTTGTTGAGCCTGCGACATTTATGTTGCGAAAGTGAAACATAGTGATCCAAGATTCCTTTGGCTGCATCAATATTTAGATTCAGTCTGTGGTTAAAGTTTTTTTAGCCATCAATAACTTTGTCAAACCTTCATGGAATTTTATGAAATTTGGACAGGAGCTTGTATGTGACCAAAATACAGGATGGAGAGCAAAATTTTGAAATATTTATTTTCATTTATTCGTATTTTACTGATAAATGGACTTAGTTTTTTTACAGTTAACATTCAGATTCAGTCTTTTTTACAGTTAACATTCAGATTCAGTCTTTTTTACAGTTAACATTCAGATTCAGTCTTTTTTACAGTTAACATTCAGATTCAGTCTGAGGTTAGAGTTTTTCAGTCATCAATAACTTTGTCAAATCTTCATGGATTTTTTTTGAAATTTGGACAGAAGCTTGTTTATGACCAAAAGACAGTATCCAGAGCAAAAGTTTGAAAATATTTATTTTCATTTTTCTGTATTTTACTGATAAATGGACTTAGTTTTTTTTACAGTTTACAAGTAGATACAGTCTGGGGTTAAAGTTTGTTTCACATCAATTACTTTGTCAAACATTCATAGAATTTAATGAAACTAATGCAGAAGCTTTTTTATGATTAATAATATGTCTGGAGCAAACTTTTGAAAAAACATTTTTTTCATTTTCAGTATTTTTCTGATAGATGGACTTAGTTTTTTACAGTTAACATTTACAGACATTTTGGGATAAATTTTTTTGACATGATAAATTTGTAAACCTTCATGGATTGTTGATGAAACTTGAACAGAAGCTAATCTTCAAGATCAAGAAATAGCATCAAAAGAAAAAGTTTGATTTTTTTTTAAATTCTGTTTTTTACTGATATATGGACTCACTATTTAAGTCAACATTACACTTTTACACTGACAGCAGCAATCTTAGGCGAGACACAGGATTTCGCAGAACCCCTTACGAATTTTTTTTTATTAAAAATGCATGGTGTATGAATCTTATAAAAAATAGGTTAAACTACAAATGTACAATCATGAACAAAGGAAGATAACTCTAACTCAAATTTTTAACTTTCACAGCAAAATATAATTCAATGTTTTATTTCAAAATTCACAAAAACGAAAATGAAAGCAATCTTTAACCTTCAATGCTCACAAGCACTTTGATTTCTTAAATCATTGCAATATGTTATTGAATTTATTTAAGCTTGATAAATTAATTAGAACTAGATATTTCATAAAGCGCCATTTTGATCCTGATCCATAAATTACTATTCATATATTTTCTCTTGCCACCTGATATATCAAACATTGTTGAATTGACATTTTTGGTTATTTTCTTCACTTAAAATCATTTGAATCTATACATCCTTAATTTTGATTGTAGATGATGGCAAGCAGTGGTTCTATGATGTCCACAGTTCTGATAGTTATTGTGGTGTTAATGTTCTTCATTGCAAGTCTAAAAGTGTCAGGAGCTAAAATAGTACAAGTCAAACTGTGTAGAAATAAGACAATTTTAATAGCATTTCTAGGACTTCTTGTTGTGTATTTCATGTGCTATACATCCCTATGGATATCTGTCATGGAGATCAAAGGATCATTTGAAAAGAGAGTCAAATCTTCTTACCCAGAATCGAAATATAGCTGAAATTTTTAATGTAAACTACAAAAGAAAAAAGTGTGTATTTTAAAGAAAATATTGTGTATTTTTCGCATCACAGGGTGTTATAGGTATACTTGCATAGTCAAACGTGTAAAATTATTAAGCTATGTCTTCTTTAAATGGATTGATTCAGAATTCAAACGGATTTAAGTTTAAACCAACGTATATTCATTAGTGATTTTTTTTTCCCCCAGACTTTTACGAGTAGAAAAACAAAAAATTAATATGAATATAAAAAGTTGCAAATATGTTAAAATTGAATGTTCTCTTATATGAATACTTGAACAAAAATACAAAATAACAAATATAAGTCGCCTTGTAAGTTCATGTTAAGGGCTAAACTTGAAAATAAGTTGGTTTACAGTTGTTCAATTTTTGTGTTTTAGTAGAAAATTTATGTGTCAGCGATTTAGTTTGAATGTATTTCGTTTTTTTTTTTTTGTAATTATTGAATCTTCTTTTTTTTTATTAGATTCTCTTTTTGTGTCAATTTATACTGATTTTCTGAATCAATATGTAGAAGGAAAGACATGGAATAGGATAGTTTGATTTGTTATTAAGAGTTAACAGTGATGCAAATATTTATACCACCCCAAAAATACAAAGTTATTTTAAATAGCAATTGTTTCATAAAGTCTTTCAAATGATCAACTCTGTGTTTACAATGTAGCTTGCTGTATTATTTCATAATATAGAAATATACATCAACAGATGGAGTTTTAACTTTTAGACATAATAGTAAAATTAGATCTTACATCAATTCAACAACACTAAAATAAGAATCTCAAAGAGAAAGACAAATAGATAAACATAGGAAAAACTGCAAGATTGTGTTTTGATTCGTGATTGTTATCTGGATAAATATTTAATTTTTGTCAAACTGTCAAACTAAAGTTTACCTTCAGATGTAAGATTCATTAATTATTGATGAAAATACATTCTTAAAAAATTGTACAACTGATTCACCATTTGGATCTGTACTTTATTTGTATGGTAAGCTGAGAGAATTTAAGCATTTGCAATAATTATGGTAAGCTAGTCATTTTTCAAATTTTGTGTTGATACATGTTGATAAATAGATGTTATAAATTTGCAGTATGTATTTAACTGGGCTCATTTTAGTAATTTGTTTATAATTGATATATACTTCTGTGAAAAAGTGACATGTTTCTTTAGTCTTCTTTGTGAGATTTTGTCCTAGAATAATTTAATAATATATTGTTATTTTGTATAATCTAACTCTTTTGATTTGTTCAGAAAAAGTCACATGTTCAACAGTATATTCAAAGGTAGACTGAAAACGTCAAATTTAAAAGTGATATTGCACAGCTATTTTTGAAATATTCAAAAATTGAAAATTAAAAACCTCAATACTTTGTGATGGAATTGTTACAACAAATTAAATGAACTTTATGTTCTGTTTCTTGCATATTGGCAATAATATAATAACAATTATAGCCTTATTTTGAGGTCAATACCAGGATATACCTATTTAAAGAAATATATTGACCTCAGACTTCGTCCTCAGTCGATATACTTATTTCAGGTTGATATATATCCTTGTATCTACTTCATAAAAAGTTTATAGTTCTATAATAATATCTAGAAATAATAATAATTAAATGTTTTATATTAATCAATGTATAATTTGTTTTTAACAAGTCAGTGCTAGAACATGCATTTGAATAATTTTTAACGAAGCGTGTGCATGTGGTAAATAGGTTTTAACTTAAATTACATATAGGTAAAGGATACATATTTTTTGAAAAGTTTTTCTTTTCACAATGCATAATCTGTACATAGCTTTGAACAGTTAAATGCAATATATATTAGTGCAAAGAAATTCAGTGAATTTTTAAGCAGTTTAAAATTTGAAAATTCTATGAATTTTTATCTGTAAATATAATTGTGAATATTGTATATAAGTTTTGATTATAAATTATTGGTATGTTGATTAATGCTTTGCGCTTCCACCGATGTTTTATTTTACACTATTTGCCTGATGTGTTTGAATAATTATTTGCATGAATTTTGTACATAGATTAAACATTGATTTTTATTTCTTTTATGAAGAACACGCTGGAGGAACTGTTTGAGTACTCTTGACACCAAAAAAGACTTTTCAGATTAAAATTTGAATTTTGAATATAGAAAATAATGCGTTATATTTAGAACTTTTTATTTCACAGAATCTCTTATTTTAATGAATTAATACCATCTTTTATTCAAGAGCTTTGATTATTAGAAATGGTATTCTATAGACGACCTTCGAATTTGTGCACTTTCCCATATATTTCCTATGTCACAATGCTTATGTTATTATGTCACAGTAAGAATGGATTGTTCAATGACGTAGTTTATGTCCATTGACCCTGGGTCAGCAGGTGTAACTCATTCATAAAAAAGAACTCTAGATCGGTGTATTGATTTTAAATTTCTGACTATGTTGCTTCTGACCAATAATTTGAATTTCTGATGTTTGAGTATGACCAAGCAGAACTCTTCTTTATGTTAGAAACAATACAGATTTTCTAGTTAGATATTACACGATTATTGAATTTATGATTTTAACATCAGAGGAATTACTCTCGCTTAATATTATATTTTTGTTATAAGAAACCATTTTTTGTTTTAGTATTTTTGCTATTTTTGGTATTTGGCTGTTTATGTTGTGTTCAGCTGTTCCATCTTTTTTTAAGATTGCATGCTTTTAATTCTGTACTTGTATATTGTCACCAGTCATTTCAAAACCTGTAGATTTTTTTTAGTGAACAGTAAACATTCCATCATTTCAACATTTTTGACTAGTTTTATTCAAAGAAATATTTTATAAACAGTACTTCCAAGAAATAAAGTATTTTTCAATCAATTTTTAATTACACAAATAGGAGTAAGAAATAAGTCAGTTGAACCTGCATTTTATTTTCAATGAGATGAAAATTTGATTTCTGCAAAAGAGCTTAATTCTGATGTTTAAATTTCTTATGGATAATTGTTATAATATTATATCCTACATATGTAATTGATATGACTATGAGTGGATAATTCATACAAGATATTTAGAAGTTAAATGTGAGAAACAATTTATTTAAACATAATTATGTATGTAGTGTAATCGAATGCCTATATATGGAAGGTGATGTATTATGTAGATTTTCTTAATGTTAGTATATTTGGAAAAAAGTTTTATAAAAACAGCCAAAATTATTATGGTGCAGTATTGATAAGTAATTATTTAAGCATCAGATTTAATGATCATTGATGTAAGCTCTCTTCTGTAAGTTATGGTCCTTTGTATTACATTAGCCTAGGAAGTTCATAACATCAAATAATTGTATGTGAATTTTCTTTTACTCTTAAGAAATGTGATGTACTATTTTGTAACCAACCTTTACAGCCTTCGAAGTCATTCTCTTGTTGAGGATGTAATGACTTTATGTCACTCATATTAAAAGTTCTCTAAATTGAAAGAGAGGTTAAAATCTGGTTGTATGATAATATGCAATCTAGAAAAAAAGACTTGATATATATTTTAACTGGCACACATTGAAACGTAAGAAAAAACCATATTGTTTTTAATAAATATGTCTCACAATAAAATTTAAGATTTTCAAATGTTTACAAATAAATGACACCATTAGCTTTCATCTTTTTAAGCTGTAAATCATTCATCATCTTGCTGTTTATAGGAAAACAATGTATTATAAGTTTGTTATATTTGTTATAAATTTTTTTAGTTCAAAACAATTAAATAAAACCAAAATAATGACAAGTTGATGAGTTCATGTTGTTCAATGAAAGAGGCAACTTGTATTTTGTCAGTAGAAACTACATTTAAGCATTGTTTTAGATTTTGACATCTATACATTTGCTCTTATTAAAAAAAACTGATCATATACTAACTTATCATGTACTGAAATTCATTTTCATTTTCTTGTGTTCAATTTATGTTGTATTGTTAGATCAGTATTACATGTGCTTAGTGCTTTTAATCTGTTTTATATGGTATGATTTTAAAACACTGAATGAAGAAACTCGGTTGTGGTGACTTAGTAGAAAAAAAAAAAAATCAAAATAGGTATACACCTCAATGATAAGTGTTTTTTTTACATTAAGTGACTCGTATTTGCTACATTATTGGCAATGTTATATATTTGATAAAACTGATCATTTACTAAAAAAATTATAAATATTTCTAGATAATCATCATATCGGTACTTAATTGATTTTTTTCTTTTGGTCCAGTTAAACATATCAGAAATAGATAAACTGTAACAGAAGAAATTTTTGTTCAGGTTTTAAATTTAGTTTATTTCAAGGATATATGTCATCCAGAAAATTAAAATCTAAATGAAATTTTAACCTATTTCACAGCCTGGAATACAGGAAAATGAATCCAGATAAATTGAATTAAGAGACAAAACTCTGAAATTTTAACCCCATGAAAATTAATATAGACCCTCATGAAATATATTATGTATAATAATAAAAAAAAAAAACAGTTTAAGAAAATTTCCAAAATGGTGTATTGATTAACCAGATTTGAAAAATACGCCTCATTGATATGTTTTTGTTATTTTCTACATTACAATGCATAGTTATTGCTTTTCTTGTGCCAGATTTCATATTTCGGGTAAAATTGGCAGCCATATATTTATTACATTACCAAAGTTTTGTTTTGATTTGTTAAAACAGATTGCTCAGAGTGAACAGTGCTTTGTTTGTTTCATTATTTCAGGCTTTACTGAAACAGCTGTACATGGTTAGTGTCGTAAGTGTCTTGTTTGTCTTTTGCTGTAAAGTAGCTTTGGTTTAATTTATGAAATGCTTTCTTGAAATACAGTAGAAATTTGGTTGCTCATACAAACTAACAGTTACAGTTCAAGTCAAAAGATATGTGTAGTTATGATGATCTTTTCAGTTTTTTGTACCAGAGTTTCACTGTGTTCTTCAAAAACTAAAAAAAAAGAACTACTAATTTTTGTCGAGCCTTCGACTTTAGTCGAAAAAGCGAGACATAGCGATCCTACATTCCATCGGTGTCGTTGTCGTCGGCGGCGTCCACAAATATTCACTCTGTGGTTAAAGTTTTTGAAATTTTAATAACTTTCTCAAACTATCCTGGATTTCTACCAAACTTGGACAGAAGCTTGTTTATGATCATAAGATAGTATCCAGAAGTAAATTTTGTAAAAATAAAATTCCATTTTTTCCGTATTTTACTTATAAATGGACTTAGTTTTTCTGCCATGAAATATTACATTCACTCTGTGGTTAAAGTTTTTAAAATTTTAATAACTTTCTTAAACTAATTTGGATTTGTACCAAACTTAGACAGAAGTTTGTTTATGATCAAAAGCTAGTATCTAGAAGAAAATTTTGTAAAAAAATAAATCTATTTGTTCCGTATTTTACTTTTAAATGGACTTAGATTTTCTGCCAGGAACCAACACATTCACTCTGTGGTTAAAGTTTTTAAAATTTTAATAACTTTCTTATACTATTTTGGATTTGTACCAAACTTGGACAGAAGCTTGTTTTTGATCAAATGCTAGTATCTAGAAGGAAATTTTGTTTTCTTCCAGTTAACATTACATTCAGTCTGCATTTAAAGTTTTTAAACATTTATTAGATTCATAAACTATCCTGGATTTTTACCAAACTTGGAAAGAAGCTTCTTTCAATCAAAAGATAGTATCAAGAGGGATATTTTTATTGATTTACTTCCTCATTTTTGTTGAGCCTGCGATTAACAGAAAAAGTAGGCGAGACACTGGGTTCCGCGGAACCCTTACGAATTTTTATTAGATTTAGATATATTAGCCATAAATATTCACATTTTATTGATATGAAATACAGTGAAGGTAAATATATCAGTTGAAGCAGAAATTGTCTTGTACAATTAATTACAAAAAAATAATACCAAAATTAACATCTATTGCAACAGTTACAAATTATAGTGAGTTTATCTAAGGCAGACTTATTATGATAAAAACACAACTCTAATTTATAATTATATTTAAACAGAATCTTCATGGAAAAAAATAGATAAGGGAAAGCTGTAATTACTTAGCAACGTCAGTTAAGTGTTTGCAGGAACTGGGAAATCAAATCTATTACCTTGTGTAATGGATAGATTAAAAAAAACGAGTCAAATAAACATGTGGCAAAATTTAGCATCTTTCAGCTTTTTATTAAGCATTTAAACTAAAGGACAAATTTACAGCAGTCTAAAGTTTAATATGTAGTACTGAATTTTTGCAGATAAAAAAATCTAGTTAAATGAATTTTTAATAATGGTAAATTCATTATTAGAATTTGATCTACATGGAAAAAAATCAAGAGCTAACCTATAACTTACTTTGTATATCATAGCAATAAAAATGTCAACTATGCTGTTCTTTTAATATAATGGATTTCCATCTGCGATTTTAATTGAATGAGTAATGGTAAGAATAGCACTGCTAATTTATTCTTGTAACTTTTATTGATAAAATAGAAACTGCCTGATAATTTGTCAAATGAATGTACTTAACATGAAATTGTGACTACACTTTTACATCAATGTTTTATAAATTTTGTGTTTGTCTGATTTTTTCCTGTTTTATAAACTGTTCATTGTTTGTATTTCTTTGAGATCAATAAAGTGTACATAATTGTTGGTCTGAATTTTAATAGGACCGCAAAAAATTTATTGTATAATGGTATGTCTGCGTCGTTGTCCGAATACACATTGGTTTCCAGACAATAACTTAAGTTTAAGTGAATGGATCTCTATGAAATTTTTCAAGAAGGTTCAATACTACAAAAGGAAGGTTGGGATTGATTTTGGGGATGATGGTCCCAACCGTTTAGGAATTAGGGGCCCAAAAGGGCCCAAAACAAGCATTTTTCTAGTTTCAGGATAATAACTTGTGTATAAGTATTTGGATTGCTCTGAAATTGTACGACAATGTTTAATATCACAAGTAGAAGGTTGGGATTTGTTTTAGGGGTTTTGGGGCCAACAGGAATTAAGGGCCAAAAAGGGGCCAATAACAAGCATTTTTCTAGTTTCCAGACAATAACTTGTGTGTAAGTGTATGGATCTCTCTGACATTGTACCACAAGGTTCCATATCACAAAGGGAAGGCTAGGATTGAGTTTGGGGTTAATTGCCCAAATATGTAGGAATTAGGGGTAAAAAAAGGGCCAAAAACAAGCATTTTCTCATCACTTGGCGTCCGTCGTCTGTCGTTAGCTTTTTACAAAAATCTTCTCCTCTGAAACCACTGTGCCAAATTTAACCAAACTTGGCCACAATCATCATTAGGGTATCTTGTTTAAAAAATGTGTCCGATGACCCCGCCAACCAACCAAGATGGCCACCATGACTAAAAATAGAACATAGGGGTAAAATGTAGATTTTGGCTTATATCTCTGAAACCAAAGCATTTAGAGTAAATCTGATTGAGTAAAACTGATTATCAGGTCAAGATCTATCTACCCTGAAATTTTCAGACAAATCTGACAACCTGTTGTTGGGTTGCTGTCACTGAATTGGTAATTTTAAGGAAATTTTGCATTTTTTGGTTATTATCTTGAATATTATTATAGATAGAGATTAACTGTAAACAGCAATAATGTTTAGCAAAGTAAGATCTACAAATATGTTGTCATGACCAAAATTGTCAGTCCACCCCTTTAGGAGTTATTGCCCTTAATAGTCAATTTTTAACAATTTTTCGTAAATTTTTGTAATCTTTTACAAAAATCTTCTCTGAAACTACTGAGACAAATTTAACCATACTTGGCCATAATCATTATTAGGGTATCTAGTTTAAAAAATTTGTCCGATGACCCCGCCTTCCAACCATCATGGCCAATTTGGTTAAAAATAGAACAAAGGGGTAAAATGCAGTTTTTGGTTTATATCTCTGAAACTAAAGCATTTAGAGCAAACCTGACAGTGGCAAAAATGTCCATCAGATTTAGATTTATCTGCCCTGAAATTTTCAGACAAATCCGACAACCCGTTGTTGGGTTGCTGCCCCTGAGTTAGTAATTTTACAAAAATTTTGCAGTTTTTTGTTATTATCTTAGATATCATTATAATATCTAATATTTAATACTATTAATTATGATTTTAACCTTATTTTACATGATTTCCAAAGCATCAGTAAATACAGGTGAGTGACACAGGCTCTTGAGAGCCTCTAGTTCTAGTTTCCAGACAATAACTTGTGTTTAAAGTGTATGGATCTCTCTGTAATTGTACTACAAGGTTCCATACTACAAAGGAAAGGCTGGGATCGAATTTTGGGGTTATTGCTCCAAGGGGGGTTTCAAAAAGTTGGTGGGGGGGGGGGGGGGGGGGAATTTTTTTCCCAATTTTTTTAGAGGATTCAAATTTTTTTTTCTTCAAATTTAGGATTTTTGAAAAGTTTCAAGAAGAAATCTTCAATTGCACAGTATTGCGCAATAGAGTTGTAAGATCTTTGACCACATTTATTTTGTGTCAGAAATCTATATTATGTCAAAAATTTGATCACAATCCAAATTCAGACAGTATCAAGCTTGAATATTGTGTCCAAATTTGTACCAACTGTTCAGGGTTTGATCTCTGCGGTCGTATCAGGCTGTGCTCAGCGAAGCATTTTATCTTATCTGTAGGCAATACCAGAGTGGACTGCGAATTGTCTGCTTGTCTGGTTCTCATATTGCTTTAATAGCACCATTATTGCTCCTTCCAATTTCGTTGAAATTTCCCATTTTATGTAAACATCCCTTGTGCCAGAGAGAAGATTATATGCTACTTTTCTGGTGTTAAGTTTTCTGAATATGTTTAGAATAAAGACTTCTAATACTTAAATCATATTTGTTTAACAGTTAAAGCAGCATCAATTTAAATGTGTTAATGATATTTGGTATTAGAGTCTGCACCCAGCATATGAAGCACCACCAACTCAGTCCTTCTTCAATACAGCATATGATGCACCACCAACCCAGTCATTCTTCACTGCACGCAGCATATGATGCACCACCAACCTAGTCATTCTTCACTGCACACAGCATATGATGCACCACCAAATCAGTCCTTCTTCAATACAGCATATGATGCACCACCAACCCAGTCATTCTTCACTGCTCACAGCATATGAAGCACCATCAACTCAGTCATTCTTCAATGCAGCATATGAAGCACAACCAACTCAGTCCTTCTTCACTGCTCACAGCATATGATGCACCACCAACTCGATCATTCTTCACTGCTCACAGCATATGAAGCACCATCAACTCGGTCATTCTTCAATGCAGCATATGAAGCACAACCAACTCAGTCCTTCTTCACTGCTCACAGCATATGATGCACCACCAACTCGATCATTCTTCACTGCTCACAGCATATGAAGCACCATCAACTCGGTCATTCTTCAATACAGCATATGATGCACCACCAACTCGGTCATTCTTCACTGCTCACAGCATATGAAGCACCACCAACTCAGTCATTCTTCACTGCTCACAGCATATGATGCACCACCAACTCGAACATTCTTCACTGCTCACAGCATATGAAGCACCATCAACTCGGTCATTCTTCAATACAACATATGATGCACCACCAACTCGGTCATTCTTCACTGCTCACAGCATATGAAGCACCATCAACTCGGTCATTCTTCAATACAGCATATGATGCACCACCAACCCAGTCATTCTTCACTGCTCACAGCATATGAAGCACCATCAACTCGGTCATTCTTCAATACAGCATATGATGCACCATCAACTCAGTCATTCTTCACTGCTCACAGAATATGAAGCACCATCAACTCGGTCATTCTTCAATACAGCATATGATGCACCACCAACCCAGTCATTCTTCACTGCTCACAGCATATGAAGCACCATCAACTCGGTCATTCTTCAATACAGCATATGATGCACCACCAACCCAGTCATTCTTCACTGCTCACAACATATGATGCACCACCAACTCAGTCATTCTTCACTGCTCACAGCATATGAAGCACCACCAACCCAGTCATTCTTCACTGCTCACAGCATATGAAGCACCACCAACCCAGTCATTCTTCACTGCTCACAGCATATGAAGCACCACCAACCCAGTCATTCTTCAATACAGCATATGATGCACCACCAACCCAGTCATTCTTCACTGCTCACAGCATATGAAGCACCATCAACTCGGTCATTCTTCAATACAGCATATGATGCACCACCAACTCAGTCATTCTTCACTGCTCACAGCATATGAAGCACCATCAACTCGGTCATTCTTCAATACAGCATATGATGCACCACCAACCCAGTCATTCTTCACTGCCCACAGCATATGAAGCACCATCAACTCGGTCATTCTTCAATACAGCATATGATGCACCACCAACTCAGTCATTCTTCACTGCTCACAGAATATGAAGCACCATCAACTCGGTCATTCTTCAATACAGCATATGATGTACCACCAACCCAGTCATTCTTCACTGCTCACAGAATATGAAGCACCATCAACTCGGTCATTCTTCAATACAGCATATGATGTACCACCAACCCAGTCATTCTTCACTGCTCACAGCATATGAAGCACCATCAACTCAGTCATTCTTCAATACAGCATATGATGCACCACCAACCCAGTCATTCTTCACTGCTCACAGCATATGAAGCACCATCAACTCGGTCATTCTTCAATACAGCATATGATGCACCACCAACCCAGTCATTCTTCACTGCTCACAACATATGATGCACCACCAACTCAGTCATTCTTCACTGCTCACAGCATATGAAGCACCACCAACCCAGTCATTCTTCACTGCTCACAGCATATGAAGCACCACCAACCCAGTCATTCTTCACTGCTCACAGCATATGAAGCACCACCAACCCAGTCATTCTTCAATACAGCATATGTAGCATCATCAACTCGGTCATTCTTCACTGCTCACAGCATATGAAGCACCATCAACTCGGTCATTCTTCAATACAGCATATGATGCACCACCAACCCAGTCATTCTTCACTGCACACAGCATATGAAGCACCATCAACTCAGTCATTCTTCACTGCTCACAGCATATGAAGCACTATCAACTCGGTCAGTCTTCAATACAGCATATGATGCACCACCAACCCAGTCATTCTTCACTGCTCACAGCATATGAAGCATCATCAACTCGGTCAATCTTCAGTGACATAAATTAGATGATAAATTTTCTGATAAGATGTGTTATGTTAATATTTATGATATGCCATTGTTTGTTATAGGCTGTTGCATTAACATCCATGTATTTAAGTTTCAAGAAAAATATAAGAATATAAAATCCTCTCCCCTCGGCCATGCTTATTTTAAACAATCAAGGTTTAGTTGTTCGTCTGTTAAAGTTGTTTTTTACAAGTTTTAAATGTTAAGCATCCTGATTTAAGTGTGTTTATTGAAGATCTTTACTCTTGTCATCAATATTTGGTATGTTGTTGCACTAGTGTCTTTTATTTCTGTTCAAGCAAAATATGAAGCTCCACCCATTTAGCCGGGTTTCAATGCAGTCATTTAACCAAAATGCTATGAAATGAGGTCGAGGACACAGTCAATATGCAAGACGGATACTAGACCATAGGGCATCTGTATACAAGTTCAAGTTCAAATTCAATACT